TCATTAGCTGGAAAACTGCAATATACTGTAGACTTTTCAGAGCTAGGTTACTTCAAATTATTCAAAAGCTTAGTGAAAACATAATATATTTAATATATTTATCATATATTTATTTTCTCAACTTTGTTTTGTGAATTGAGTGTAGGTATAGGAGATAGTTGTAATGGTCGCATGTATTATTATGTAGTCTTTTTTTGGCCATCTGTAGTATATAGCCAAATTGCAATGTTAAATGTAAAATGGTGTTTGCCGTATACAAAATAAACAAAACAAACAAATAAACAAAATATAGATATACAAATAAGAACTTGAACTCTTAGAGAGCCTTTGAATTTTATTAGACTAACGAAAAGGGTTGTGCATGTTTACTAGCGCTACTCAGCAACAAAAACCATTTAATTTATCTCTAAAATATATATATTCTTATATTTCTCCAACAGAAAATTCATCTGCAGAAGAATTTTATTGTGCTCTTAATATGTCATTCGCATTATTTGTTGCCAATGAAGCTGCAAGACCATATAAATGAGGAGGCCCCTAACAGTTCAAGAATAAAAGCCAACTTCACTTCAAGTATATTCCACTACACCTAACATTCCGTAGTGAGATTATATTGACATCTTTATGTAACTGATAAGGCTGAGCCAACTAACTGGCATCCCACATGTCAAGGAATTCCAGCTTTAACAGTAACACCACAACCAATTTCTCAAAACTGTGCTAGACTAGAGGGTTTCTCATAAATGTGCTACACGTTATTAATTGGCACAGAAGTACGATATGAACTGACGCGACGTGACGAAGGAAAAACCAAACTTACACTAAAACTGATATACTTCTCTTTGAAGTTACAACGTGTCTTCTCAACAAACAGATTTTTTTTTCAAATAAAATCATAGATTAATCCACATTACACTGATGAAATCACGCAAGTGTTTAACTCCAAAAGATCCACCAATACGATTTTAATACTATTTAAAGGTTCTTCCAAAGGAAGAGATACCAGATATTATACTAACAACTGCGATGACGTACAGTATGGGAAATATTTTATTCATTAATTGAATGATCAACCATATTTTGCTAACTAACGCAATTAATATCATTATTGGTTTTACACTTACTAATCAATGCTAAATGGTCAAAATATGTATAATTTCACTCAATTTATCGTAGTTAGATGAATTAGCGTAAGCCTTGAAAGTAACCGCCGATTTCGACGGGTTTCACCTAGTTAAAATGAATTTTAAATGTCACATTTTAATAGTGTTAAATTAAATTACTGGTATCTAATATTCTCTAGGCTACACGATTTTGAAAATCCTAGAAAATTACAAAACTTAATTTTCAAATATCAATTTGTTGCACAACTTTTACATAGGCTATATATGAAACATAGCTTTGGTTACAGTTTATGCTACTTTTGAATAAATAAGTAGGCTTAATTTATTCTGATAAATGCAATTGATTTGTAGTTTGATGTACACATCTTTGACCCTCCTTTTTAAACTCTTTAATTGATGCCATAAAAATGAAATCAGTATACATTATAGGATGACATCACCAGGTCATTTCAAGTTGGCTGTTTGAATAGTTTCAACAAATGTCAAATTAAATTTTTATACTGGTTACTGTTGAAATTAGATAGGGTTACTGTTTAGTACCTCAAGTCAAAAGTTTTGAAAACCTAGATTACGCTCAACCTCATTCTTATTTCTACTCTCATTCTTAATGATTCCAACAAGAAATTTTCAGTTGCCATATTATTTGGTAAATAACACAATCATAATAGATAAAAAAATTATACTTTTAGAGACATAGATGCATGTATTTTCCTACCAGCTTTAGTCCTTCATATTGTAGACTGCAGCTAAAAGAAGAATGCTAGAGTCGGGACCTTGTAAGTTTGCAGTTGGTGACAGCCAATCACAAGACAAGGCTATAGTGCGACGTTGCCACATCGCACTAATAAAATATACTAAGCAATGTTTTCAAATCAGCTGGTATTATTAGATTTGGCAACACTGCACGGTTCTCATTGGTTCATTCAAACCCATATGGTAAATAGGCTCCTCCCTCAACTGCAAACTTATGTGGTCCCGACTCTAGATATATATTGTTGTAGTGTTTTGTTGGAAACAAACTTTGTTTATTCATGAGTGCATTACTCATTCAGTAACATTGATGGACTTAAAACTGATAGTGTTGGTGGACACAGGTGTATCTAAACTCTAAATGTGCACAAAAAATATTTTTTTCAAAAAAACTGTATGTGAACTATCCTCATAAGAAAACTCTTCACTTAGCATTTCCTATGCTTTTACTGGATTTTACACTTACTGTAATATATTCACACACATTTTTTAAGTACAGTATAAACCCGCTAAACCAACCTCGGCTAGTCAGACTCATTGGTTAACAGACATCAGCATCGCCTATCATTGACAATGTTATCACAGTAATATCTTGACCATTTCCCACTATCATGGCAAAAATCTATACCCCTACGGTCATGAAAAAATTATCATCGTCTTTTCTTTGTTACCTGTGATTGTGGCCAACTCCCGAATATCCCCAGCAGTAACGGAGACATTATCATCGTCTACCACGATCGGTGAAATATTGAGCGTCTCTCATGGTCATAGAAACATTATCATCTTCCAAGATTGCGGCGAAATTCTGAATATCTGCTGCGGTAAACAAAAAAACATCATTGTCTAAATTGGATCCTGCCAAAATCCTGAAATACTTGGAAAATCCGACCCTTTCACTGTTTCGGCCATGGTCTCGGTCCAGTGGGTGGCGGATTAGTGACACTGTTTCGGCCATGGTCTCGGTCCAGTGGGTGGCGGATTAGTGACACTGTTTCGGCCATGGTCTCGGTCCAGTGGGTGGCGGATTAGTGACACTGTTTCGGCCATGGTCTCGGTCCAGTGGGTGGCGGATTAGTGACACTGTTCTGTAACAACAAAAGCACTCTATGTGTTAGAGGCTCCCTTAGCACATTTAGCTGGTAGTTTCACCATAAATCCCAGATCCTAGCAGTCTGACAGGAGTCGTAAATATTAAATTATTTAGCTAATGTTTAGGCCTACTGGAACTTATTGTTGAATAACAAGTAAGAATGACGATGAGGTTGAAGCCAAACCTAGTGTAAGTTACATAAATGTCAACAGCTAACATTTTTCAAATATTTTTACAGAGAGGGAAGAAAAAGTGAATGTCAAAATGCCACCATACAACATTATTATTGGGGAAGAAACTGCTGAAGATTTGATCAAATATAAACTTGATTTACAAACAAACAAGAAAACAGCTGGTAATTACTTGAAAAATCAACTAAGCAAATTGCCAAAGAAAGAGCAGTCACTAGGTGAAGTAACCGTTGGCGAATTTTTGCAAATGTTGTTGTTAACGAAGAAATACAAGTGTTTTGCAGATTCGGAAGTTAGAGGGGACGGATCAGACTGGAATAGGACAGAGTTCAGTATCCTTGGTGAAATATCGGTTACGATGGAAGTCCAGGTTTATGACAATGGGGTGTGGAAAGTCAACGACAAAGCATTCAAAGTCCATAACTCTCCAATCACAGCTCACCTTCTGTATACCCCGGGTCCTCTCTTGGGTGGGAGAAAATTCCATGGGATAACCCCAGATTATGAGGCTATTACAACAAATGATAGTATAAATCAAGAGAAATACAACAAGCTCATGAAAAGAAGATTATTTCCCATTTTCCTTTATGCAGATGAAACAGCTAAGAAAAATAATAAAAAGGCACTAGTTGTAATTCCAGGTTTGGGCTGTGGAGTATTTGCCAAAAGATTCAAGGGAGAAATGGGAGAGTATTTAAATAGAGCTTTGAAATCTGTCATCAAAGATCTTCCACCCTGCGAAAATATCGCTTGTGTTAGATACGATCCGTACGATGAATGTGAAGATTGCGAAGAGGTTATTGACTCAGTAAAATTTCGTCTGAGGAAATATAATGGTCCATTGGGTAAACCCCAGCTCTCGAAAGTTGAAGACTTCGAAGAGACGAAGGGTGAGTTTGAAAACTGCATTTTATACAAGGTCGTAGCCTGGGACCACGTCTCCTTTCCGGGAAATAACTACTTCCTGGGGTCGCGCAGAACGGACGATGGAGTTGCAGGCGCTGCCACCAACACGATGGAAGTACTAACCGGAATTAAAGGTTGCTATTCCCCGGGATACTATTTAAATGATAAAGGCAACCGGAAATGGATAACTGTTGCCTCCAATAATAATACTGAATTGATTGTTGATGGAAATGTGAGGGTTTCTGTGGATGATTGTAAGCTCATTGATCTAAGTGAGTACAAAGCAAGGTAGGTTTTCATAAGTTTGAATGCATCACATGTTTCAAATCAAGGTCTACATTGTATTTATGATTGAAAGTGCGGAGATGCTGTAAAATACAGATTGTTGTATCCAGTTTTCATCAACTGCTGTTGATATGATTTAAATAATAAAAAAAATGTGCTATTTATTTTAAAACATAACAATTTTCATTCCTTGCGAGATTCCATAACCCCTATATACTTTACATGTTGCATTTACAGCTTGCTAAATTTGATTAGTCTACTGTCATTGTCGTAACAATTGTTTTCTTGTATATTTTTTTTTGCTTGTACAATGGTGGCAATTCACGACCTGTAAACAGATTTCTCGAGTTGTATCTAGCACAGAACCTAGTGAGTGAGAGTTTATCCCAGGGTGGCCAGAGAAGCACACTCAGTAGTGCTTTACAACCTTTCTGAGCCAAATCAACAGTGGTGACTGGTCCAGCAGCAGACAAGTCATAATTAGTTCATTTGAAATAACTTGTTCCTCAACTTCTTACATAAGTAGGCCTATAAAATAAACAATCACAAGTGAAGTAGATAGAACCTTAGTTTAAGAATAAGAGAGACCTTCTACATTCTAGCTGTGTAATTCTCATAAAATGGAAAACTAGTAGGATCAATTGAAAAAACAACTTCGATTTTCAATATTTATTGATTTATCTTTACACACAATTGTGTACAGATATATAGACTTAAAATTGCTCTACTTTAAATGCATAACAACAAAAATAAACATTCAGATAAATTCAAAATATTGTAAAAAATGCTGGGTAGGCTACATAATGCCTTAATTTAAACACACATACTGAACAAATTTATGGTAATATCAATGAACCTTATCTCAAAATGCAGAGGTTTAGAAATTTATTGAAACATTTAACATTAACAATTCATATAAAGATAAATTAGAAACATGATAAAAAAATACAAAGTAGGTATACCCTACATACAAACTTTATAAAACCTTAGTTGGTAAAAAAGATTATCAATGGAAATCAGAGGAATATGTTAGCTCAATAGATGTAGGGTGTTGAACAATATGCCATTTGTAAAGTTGGAAACATTAATTTGATTAATAAACATCAATGAAAGGTAATAAAAGAATGAGGGAATTTATATTGTGTTTTCAGGATCAACCTATTTGAAAGTTTATGTATCTAAAATTATATATTTAAATTTAGGTATCTTTTTTCATAAATGGAAAAATATATTAAATGAAAATGCTATCAATGAGGTTGATAAAGTTAGTAGTTTTTTGCTTAAGCCATTTTTATCTATAAGTTTTATCGTCTGAAGATCCTTCTTGAAGTTAAGGTGTTAAAGCAAGTCTTCTAAGATGTAAAGTTGTCTTTGAATTATAATACTGATAGTTATAAAATATAAATAACTACGGTATTTAAAAATGAAGGAGTTCTAAACAACTTATTTGACATATTCATACTTTGTAATGGCTACACAATAAATAATTATATGCAGTTACTAGCTTAAGTAGATGAACTGTTAAAGTTCTTTAAGTTGTTTAAGTTCTTGTATCTAGAAAGTAAAGAACTATCTGTTTGTTTTTAGCAAATTTAAAAGTTTATCCTATGTAATATTCAGGTTCAATTTTAGATTTTGAAAATAAGGCACCGATTTAAAAGTACAATAAGTGACCATGTCTCCTTTGCGATGTGTAGCCTTACAATACAATAACTTTGAAAAAGTATACAAATAAAAACATAATAATATTCATTAAAACCAAAAAAATTTAATTCTGTCCGTTCATTAGCTTATAAACTGATTCAAGTCAAAAATAAACTTAAGTGTTGAATTACAAGCTTTAATCATAACAGTGGATGAAAGTAAACCCTAAAGAAAGTATTTTGTAAATAGTATTTAGGTAGTATTATGTTTAACAAGTTCTTCTCTTACTAGATTACTCTCCGGGTTGTTTATCATTAAAGTTAATACATAAATGTTTCAATATAATCAACTAGGTAAGTTTAAAAGTAAATATAGTCAAACAGTTTTTCATAGGAACTAAACACAAAATAAGGACTAAATCGGCAGTATCGATTTCCATGTATTTTACATAATTGCTTTGAGAGTTAAATATGAATACAGACATTTACAAAATTCTCAATTTCAATTTAGAGAGTTATTCTAACAGAACTCTAAATTCAATTATATAAAAATACAAATCGCCAATCTCAACTCGGTAATAATTTCAGACTTATAATAAATTACAAAAAGCACACACATACTTGCTCGGTAATATTTACAGTACAAATCTTCAACAAATATTTTGTATTTACAGTAATATACAAGATACATGTGGGTGCTGGCGAGTAAAGTACCTATAGACATTTAGATTCTCTTCTAACCCTGGATATGTGACATAGTTGCTTTGTGGTAGTGGCGTTGACTCTACAAATAACAACCTAAAACTGCTACAAAAGTTGACAGAGCTATATCTAGTCTGCAACTGAAATCTGTAAGTGACATGGACATTATTACGCTTTATCTCAAACTGGAGTTTTACTGTATTGTTAAATTCATTATTAGTAAATTTTGTAAGCAATCTTTTAGAAGAATTGATTAAATTTTGCACTATTCTAGTAGTTTCAGCATTAAAATTTTGGTTAGTAATGGTGTGTAATGTTAGATGTCCATAAATTTGTATTTATGTTTACGTGAACAATGGATTTGTATTTGCTAGATCTATTTTTAAATTATTATTGATCAAACAAAATCTAATTTTTGAGTCTGTGGTCAATCTAAAACTTAAATATCACATTACGGTATGTGAATTTATTGATGAAAATTTTTGTCTAAGAGCTAAACATAAACTAAATAGTGGACCAGAAAAAACATACTTTGAGATCATGTTTGGTACCCTACTAAAACTATGTTAGTTTTCATCTAATTACTTAAACTAGTCCTACAACGCTTTTAGAAAAGTGAGTGGTGATTTCTATTAATTTCTTGATAAAATATGGCACGAGAATCTGTGAGCAATAACAGTTTGGAAATCTGTTGTTGAATCTAGTTTTACTTAATTGTACTTAAAATTTTGCACTGTGATGGAAAAAAAATATTTAAAATATTTACAGCATCCATCTTCATTAATTCAACCAGTTTGAGTTGGTGTTTCACATTTTTCAGGATGAAAAGTATAATATAAATAAAGCAGATTTTAAATGCATACAATTGTCATAAGCCTGTCAGTTTTTATAAAAAAATTATTATACACATTTTATTATATACACACATTTTTCAACTTCTAAATACAAATTTTATGCTCTACACGAGCAGTATTTCATATTTTGCAGAAAATTACACATTCTTCAAACGGTACGCCTGTACACAGTTCTTGCTACATATGTAAGTATAATAACATGTCAAATTGTTTGGATGTTGTAGGAGCTATTCATATGAGCGTTTTAAATTCTCTTGTTCCTTATCATAGAGTAATATTTGAGGTTTTATGGGATATAAATGGACAACCAATCCCACATTCTTCCGCTGTGAAATGAACCGCTGAAATGAAGCAGTCTCCAAATAAGCGTGGCTCTGTTAAAATGGGAACCCTGTAAAAAGAAATGCGCAACCAAGAGTGTCCTTTCTATACTCCATTCCAAATCAACCTTGCAGTTCAGATCTTATGGGAGATTGTGCTAACATAATTACTGGAAAAAGCATGCCTTTGGGTTGTGTCAGTTGCCCTCCCAACCCTTGTGAAGGTGTTAAAAGTACATTTCACTATTATCTGTTACCACACTTTTTAAAGATTGGTATTTTGAGCTAATGAATTGGATTTTGACTAAGGCACAGTCAAAATTAGTGTAGTAGAAAATTTAAAAGTAAAGGAGTGTTTTGTACCCTTTTTATTAAAGGGCAGCTAGTATCACTGAAACTGCCATTTAAATTGGCTTGTGGCGCTAAGTTCTGCACGGTGAATGTGGAATGGAGTGTAGCTTAGAATCTCAGATTTGTTGTACAACCCCACGTCTACTCGCTGACCTCCTGGTGGACGATGGCCTGGGTGGTGAAGGTGGTGCGGTTCCGCCGACCTCATGTGTCGTCAGACTCGGACGGAGGGTCGAGAGCCGTGTGAAGAGTGACGGACATTCCCCTGTTGAGACTAACCGCTGGGTAGAACACTCCGTATAGGTCTTGGAAAGCTATCGGACCCTGGACAATTTACGAGGTTAAAATTTATACTGTGATTCTTGGCACATTTTTACCTCCAAAGATGATGTTTCAGACTATTGAAATACTTTTTTTGATAGTGAAAAACAGAGGATGGATAAAACATGGTCCCTTACATAAATGTAAAAATTACAATTGTGTTGACAAACATAAAATAATAAAATAAAACTCCTATATTCTCCTTTGCTGACCCAGAAGGCACTATTGTCAACATGAAAATATTGACAATCAAACATTGACAATTATTAGTATTAACTATTTACTGTGTATCACTTGCTAAGAATTCAAGGTGTTAGACGTTACGCCACAGCTAAATTAAATGCTACTTTTCATGATTTTACTGTGTGGCAGAACGGGTAAAATAATATTCAGTAAAAATATATTAGTTAATTACTGTCTACTCAATCAAGTGCAATTTTTAAGCTGTGCACTTGATTTAATGTTTTCCTGTTATGTCTTGTATTGTATATGTATTATTTTTTAACCGTTGACACAATGAAAATAAAGGAAATTTTGTAAAAAAATTAAAAAACAAAAATAGTTTAGTAATTACGCCCCCGATGATGGAGTTATTTCCTTATCAGTCGTAGTGCAATAACATTTCTGGATTGTGAAGACAGTAATTAACTAATACATACTATTTTCCACTATTTCTTACTGAGTTTGATGTTTTTGAAGTATTTTCAATAACAATTTTCACACTGACACTCACTTGGGGCTCCTCATTGACGTAGAAGCTGAGTTGATGCCTGTCCAGGTCTAGTAACACTCCCACAGTCGAGCCTGACTGTATCCCTCCCTCGCATCTCTGGTCATGTACATTGGCATGCATGAACCACGACCTCTGTTTGTCTATGTACATGCTCCACCCCTTGTCATCCTTGCCTGAAACATTCACAACACTTACATCTGTACATCAGGCCACAGTGTTTTATTTTGGAATCAGAACTGTCAGGTTACGCAATTTCCCAGAAATCAGACAAAATATAATGGCAAATGTAGGATATTACCACAAATGAATTAACTAAATACATATTTTTGTGTATGACAGAAGATCAGGATGATAAAATAAACGTTTAATTGTTGTTGTTTAACAAACAAACAATAGGCTGCTTTAGAATAGAATTGATTGTTAAAACATACATAACCAATAATTTATTTTTAAAAATCACAATGAATAAAATTCATATGTGAGTGGTTGAAAAATGATTCAATCTTGATATTTCCCTTTCAAAGAACAAACCTTTTATCTATATGTGTTGTTTCAAACAATATTATTACTGTGGAAGAAGGGAAGTGCAATGGTAGAGTACGTTGAGAAGGGGACAAAGTTTCCAGTAGGTTTAAGTGTCTTTCACTCATATTGTAGAAAGCAAAAGGTGCTTTTACCTATGGCTAAGTTAACCACAGCCAGTAGTCACAGAAAAGTGTAACTTCATTAAACTCTCCTTTATGATAAACAAGACCAGATAAGATTAATTCATTTATAATTTCCCTGGATAAAATCTAATTCACTCACCTAACATTTGATCCTTGACACAGTCTATCCTGGCCACTCCAAAGCTAGGGTCTGTGTCGGCGTCGTAGCGGTCCACGGAGAACTCCCAGTAGTGAACACCTCTGGAGAACCCTACGCTACCCAGGGCCACTCTGTGCTCGTAACCTTCACACGACACACTACAGTTGTCTTCGGAGAAGCTCAGGTCTGGGCCACCGAGGCAAGGGTCGAACGTGAACCAGGCAACTGTTGGAAAATAAATCAATCAGTTAACATAAAAAAATTAACAAATGCCATTTAAAATAATAAAACACCGGTACTCCAACCCCATCTTCATATTCTCTTAGGGCACTCCACTTCTTTCTCGTTCTTCTTAGACACATGCTGCTGGCCCTAATGTCTCACAGATGGTTTTTACCCTTATCCATTTCATCACCACACTGTAAGGTTTCTTCCATTTTTCTCTTCCTTCTGCCTTTTTACAGGCACAGATGTACTAATTTTTTTGTATTCAAACAGAAAATAGTTAAATGGGCCTCTCAGGGGGGTTGTGCTGGTATAAAAATCATATTTTCTCTCTTAACTTTTGATACTTAGCTCAATTCAACAATGTTTTAATCTAAATAAAAAAAGTGAATTGGAACCTGAATTTTAGATCTACATCAAGTAACCAATGTTTGCATTGAACTCGACAATTATGTCAATAAATTTAATAAAAACCAATTATTGTCAATTGTGTAGGAATTCCAGTATTGTGAATTATTCTTCCCTTAATATTTATTTTCCATGTATTCAGGAATTTTTTAACAAAAAAATAACAATATTTAACTATTAATTTTCTCAGAATACCAAGAACAGATGAAATTATGATTATTTTGATCTGCCATCATTTTATTGGAGTTGCGTCGGTTTTCACAGAATCAAATTTTGGGTACTTTGCAATTTTATGTTTTGAGTTGGATAAAAAAAGTTCTTAAACCAAAACAAATTAAAATCTGAAAAATATTAAACTTTATTTTGGTATGATATAATGAGCAGACCATTTGAAATATACTACGGAAGTATTAACTAACATACTTGAAAGGTAGATAATTATATAAAATTGGTAAATTACAACCCCATTATTGTTAAAGATGTTGTCAATACTATAAAGAACTTTTGTAAAATTTAAGAGATGAAATTGTAGGATGAGGATGGTATTAAACACAATTTTTCTTTGTGTGGTGATGTTAGTATAATGGTTACATCTTAAACTTTGGTGATAGTGAAAAAGGTTCAATTCCCAGAAAATCCATAAAAATTGAGGAGTTTGAACTCCTCTAAAATTTGTTTGTAATACTTTCACCAAAAATTTCACTGGCAAAGAAACCAAAATTTGTTTCCTTGTTACTAAACTATAACAATGATATAACTAGTACTGGGACAGACGTAAGTAGATAACATGCTGTAGAGCCCAAGCCCGGGACCCTTGGCTAAAGTTTGTCTAAAGAGCCTCTTCACTCCCCCATTTGCTTGTTACCCTGACATGACACCACCCTTGCCTTATCAATTATATCTGCCTTGTTAAAACTTGGGGCTCAGCTTTAGCTAAGGTAATCCCCCCTCGTGTCTTGACTTTGAAAATATTAATGGTTCATATTTCAAACAAGTAGATTTTGTACGTACCCGCGTTTTAAATTTATATTTTAATATTGTGTACATATATTTTACTATAATTTTTGTTTTGAAAAAGAAAGTTGATGAACTATTGAATTCAAATAAAGTCCACAGCTTCTGGCAAGTAAAAACATGTTATTCAATTATTATTTCCAATCCTTAACAAACATTCAGATGTTGATTTATTAATATTTTTTCCATTAATGGGTTGAGTAATGTAAGAAACAAATTTTATCTGCAATTTTCGGTGGGGGAATAAAAATATAAACAGAAACCATTGTTTTATAACTTTTAATATCTATGTGGTATTATGTTTTTTTCTTTCTTTAAAAAGTTATTGAGCCAAATTTGCAAAGATTTATTATTGTCCTAGTAAAATCTTTTTAAAACATCCGTGATTGACAAAAAACAACTCTTTTGAGATTGGCACATACAAATTTTTCATTTTTCTCCTTTAGGTGATTAAAAATACTTTATCAACACATATTTTGACTTAAAACCTACAAACCCTGATTTATGGAATAAACTGCATAGTCAAACGAAACTGAGGTAACTATTTTTGAAAAAAAAAACACACATTATTAGATTATTTGATTTTTTATTACTCGTCAATAAAAAAAATCACTATATACCTTAAGAGTATAGAATATTAAATATAGTAAAAGACTAGCATTGAAGAATTATAATTAACGAGCACAACCACAAGCAGCAGCAGAACAACTGAAAAGGTGAAACAAAAGAGACGAGGGGAAGTTCGCAATGCAGAAAGTTGCGTGCGATGGAATCGAGGGAGATATTTAAAACAAACTGGGGAGTCGAGAGCCCGAGGCGCTTGAGTACTCAACGTCTCTGAAATAATCACGGGAATGTTTGGTAAACAACACTCCCTAGGGCAGAGGGGAGAAGTCTACCTTCATTTTATTATTCAAGGAGTCTGTTTCATTAAGGCTTTACGGTTTCAATTTAAAAAAGATTTATTTCATATAATTTAACCAAACAAGGAGGGAGCAGTTATTTGCTTGAGATGAAATGTTCACATCTTCTTGTCTATTGTTGAATATTGTTTTATTACGGCTTCTGGTTAGTATAAGATTGCATAACTGTTTCGTGGTAATGTGAGTCTAGGAAACATATCGATACAGCCTTGGTTTTTTTATGGGGAGGAATATAAAATCACACTGAAAGGCTCAATGTTCTCTCAGTAGTGCCAGACTCCTGCGGGCTTATTGTCCCCGGACTCCTGTCTAAAAAACCCCCTCATTTCCTAGGACACTAGCCTGGAACTGTTTAGCACACTACTTCAGGCTAGGCATTTTTTACTATGCCATTAAAACTTTCCTTCTTCTATTTTTCCAAAAGTTAAGACCGATCATGATCGAACCTTCGTAGCCCGAATTATGGCTTTGGCGAACCTGGGTTGATTGAAAAATAAATACAACCGCTAGCAACTGTTGTACTTTTGCTTGGATAATCCTTTATCACTTAACCTCTTATCATAATTGTAGGATGTATATTGTGTATATGTGTATATGTGTAGCTGGATAGGAATGCAGCTTGGTCCACTTCAAAATAACAAAAAATGTGTGTATAAAAGCTCAGTTGTGTGTTAGCTTGTATCATTTAGCAGCCCAAGTATCAAGTGTTTAGTTACGATACTGATTATTTCCAATTTCCAATTTCTTAAGCACCCACATCTGATATAGTATCAACAACGAGCAACTATTTAAAAATCCTTTCGTTCAAAATTTTTCCTATGTGTCGACATTATCTACCAACCTTCCGCAGTCTGAAGTCCGATGAGTTCGCTGTATTCTCCCTCGCCCGTGCTGTTGAATGCCTTTACTCTGGCATTGTACATGGAGTTGAAATGAAGCCCGTCCACCGTGCAGATGGTCTCCTTCCCACAGTAGACCTCCTGGAATACATGAAAACATTCATTAAAGTAGTTAAATGAACTAGATCTGGTGTGAAAATTGTTGTTTAGGACTTAAAGGTAAAAAACAAGGCCATAGCCAGGACAAACTTTCGGGGGGGGGGGGGGGGTGCCAGGTCAGTGGGGGTTCTAGGACCTTGTCGAGGGGGGCTCCCGAGGGGTCTGGGGGTCCTCCCCTGGACACCTGGACATTTTTTTATATTGTTAAAGTAGTTTAGTTTTTAACGCCTAAAACTGTCTCCAATTGTTAAAAAAAACTCCCATTCAACCTGTTGTCATAAGCAAGTAGACATTTACAAATATAAACTATGACGATTGCATTCATAAATTTGTAACCATACTGTACGGCCATATCCTCCTAAAAACAGTTTGGTACTTTCTTTAGCCCCTGTAGCCCCCCTCCCTTGGAACCACCAATGGGTCACCTCATGACTGTGGATAACAGATTTAAGCACTTTCAAACACCTATTCCCATGCTTATTTCTAAAATTTTAATATAGTTACATGTATGTAAAATATTACAGGATGATAAATCTGTTTTGTTTGAGTAAAGTATTTTTGTTGAACCTTCACAGTTTTATTACCTCTTTAATAGATCAGATTAATTAATAGAATTATTATATGAAATATGAATAGTTACTGCAAAACATAATATGACATAAAATATAATCCTCTGTTGTGGTTTCTATTTTATAATTTAACTTATACTTTTTAAGCCTAGTGTTTATTTTTACTACTAAATTTTTTAGGGGTTTTGACCCCCTAACCCCCCCTCCTGGCTACGGCCTTGGTGAAAAAGTCAGAAATGCTAACTAAACCTTTGAACAACCTTTCAAATGTCAATCAGGAAGTTTCTAAAGAATTTAAAAAGTAGTTTTTTTTAGTATGACAGTCTGACTAGAGGATAGGCAGCCAGTTTAACTGTCATGAGATATTTGCTGTTAGCTCAACTTTCATGAGATATTTGCTGCTACCTCAACCTTCTATCAGGGATTTTATGAGAACTCATCTGTCTATGAATAATTAGCTGAGAGTTCAACTGTCCATGAAGACTTTACCGGCAGCTTAACTTTCCATGAAGTATAAGACTTCCCAAGGGGAATTTGCTTGTTGTTCAACTAAAGGATTTCAACTAACTAAGGATTTTTTTTTTGTTTTGAAGGATTTCCTTCAAGGGATTTGTCGATGAAATCACTCTACACTGATACTCACCCTGAACTCGCCACCGTTGCCGTCGTCCAGCTCCAGAACATATCCCTCCACGTAGGAGGTGGGGGGAGGCTGCCAGGCCACCGTGACTGAGTTGTTCTCGGCACTGCACTCCTCAGGGATGATACAGGGAGCGCTAGGAGCTACACACACCCAATACAGCAATCACTTCAATGAATTTAATTGATTAAGTTAAAATCATTTAAAGATGTACCAATCTCATTTTAGGAAACCTTTTTTTGAGTTATACCTTTATACTATAAATATAAGTTAAGAAGATGTATTTTGATTTTAGAATCTCCAGTTGATTTTGTTGGTTGATTAAAACGAGCTTTTCATTCTACAACAATTAATTAACTAATCTAAGACCAAGGTGCCTAAAACTTCCCTTCAATTAAAAAAGAACAAAGCGCTTCCTCTGTGTTAATGAGGTTAACACCTCTAGCAAAAAATATTAGCAACCATTTTGCACTTTTTTATTATTCATGCAATTTTTATCCCGTAGTTGTTCATTCCATTAAACAACTCCATGCATCTAGGAATTGAAGGATTAATCAATCAATCATTTGCACTGAAAATAAATGAGACACCATGCAATTAATTATGCTAAGTGATATATAAGATACACTATTTAAAAATAAAGCTATTTTTAAGAACGGTTTCAAAATACATGGCTCAAACACTCATGAGAAGCACAGTAAATTGGAATGTGTTTGGAATGATGTAAATATACCTGCAGGCTGTCTTTCTTCTCCATCCTTAGCAGCTTCACAGCGAGAGACATAACCTCATGTTAGTTAAGGAAGCAAACTACAGGGGTTAGTTCATTGCTTTTGGTCTGTCATATCTTTGATTGGCTCTAATAAAAAAGTGGGATGTTTTTGTTTGTTTATTAGTAGAAATATTAATATGGTTTAATTTAACTGGTCCCATAACACAACTAATGTTATCTAACAGATTATTCACCATCTTCAAAAATAAATTTTAAAAAATGTGTTTTTGATTTTTGCTAAATTAGTAGAGGTTTTGGAATTGGTCAATTAAAAAACTTCATTACAGATTTTAATCAAACTGAATAATCAAACATAACAACAGACCAAGCGTATAGGCAGGAGCAACTAAGAGGTATAAGTTCATCATAAGCATAACTACATTTACATGAAACCTAAACATTTCAAGACACAGCTTTACTGAAGGAGTCCTTTACAAGGAGAATTGCATAAAGAAAAATGTTTGTTACTTGTGTCCTCTGTACAAACAAATTTACATCCTTTATATATTGTATTACGTTGAATTATGTTTATAAAAATCATTAGTGGTTAAATATTTGCTGCTTTATTCAAGTTGTGATCAAACTTAAACAAACTTGGTTAAATATTGATTTTCAGTAGTTAAATTTCAGTTTTTCTGTAGCTGTCTAAGGGAAATTTGTCTTTACATATGCTAGAAAATTCTTAAAATTTTCACATGTTTTTGAAACAATTTAACAGAAATCTCCTTTGTTATTGTTTGACCATTGCATTTTTGGAAAAGTTTGCAATTATGTTTTGAGATTACATCATTGTTAAGATATGATACATTAACAAGACAAGAAAATCGATGATATGATGAATTTATGTAATGTAATGATTTTTCAGTTTATAAACACATCTTCTCAATTTACCTCAGTGATACAAGTTGAATGGAGGTATACGTTTAGTCACGAGAGATTTGACGTAAACTTACGTTTCATCTGTATGAAGTTGAGCTGGTCAATAGCTCGCGCCACACTCTTGTCGTCCAAAGTGAGATCGCATTGTGCAGAGACTCGCGGTGAAGCCGTCAGATCCTTATGCCATGTGATGTCTACGTTGGCAACCCTGTTGATCAGCATAGAGCCAACCTGAGGAAAAAATAACAGATTATGTTGGGAACACTGGATTGATAGTGAAAGCTATTGTAAATTGGTTCAACATGAAGTAAATTTTAGACTAAAACAAAAAAAAGGAACTACCGTTATGGCTGCCAAGTCAGATTGCCAAGAAGCAGAGAAAGGTGTAAGTGTTGAGGACACTGGTTCCCCTTCAAAACGAATAAAAATAATGGAAAAGATTCTGATGGGATCTTGTTTTAGTAGTTATTTTGACAACAAGGACATTTTAAAGTTTCAAGAACTTTAACAGAAAACTGAGCCTCACTTTTTGCAAAAAAGCAATACCTGGGATGCAAGGCAATTCAATTTATACCACCAACTAAAAACTTTTATTAGTACCAACTATTCAATATGAAATTCGACTGGCTTCCCCAAGCCTTAGTCAATCATTGTAAACTAACCGAAGATAAAATGGATAGGAATAAAAGTTGTAGGACTCCCCACTTTCCACTCTAAAAAAAGAAAATAAACAAGAGACTTCAACAGGAAAGCACTCAAGATGCAAATCTGAAGGGTTTCCAAACAGACCAATTTTAACCACTCAGAAAGCTAAAGAAAAAACACATTGCTCACCTGCAGAAAGGCGGCAGAATCCGTCTCCTTGAGCGCTTCTATGCAGAACTGCAGCAGCCCTGTTGTGTGTTGCAGTTTACATGTGCAGGTCATCACTTGCTCCTTTAGCACTCGCACCTTCAACTCCTTGTCTTGTCTGATGTACTCCAGCAGCTGCTGCTTGCGAGCCTCGATGGCTTCTATGAGGGCATCACACTGAGCCACTACCACCTCCTCGAACTCTGCACAGTTCTCCTGGAATATCATCGCAGGTGTGATTGAATAGGTACATCAAAATACTGGCACAGCTAAAGAAATGCTGAACAAAATTACAGCCAAGGACTTTGCAGTCAACGCTTATTGTAAAAATGTATATTAACTTATTATTAAGTTAATAAGGATTAAGGATGTTACCACAGTGGTATCATGTGTTATGAGAAGATCTTTTCAACTATGTTTTGTTTGAGTAAAAACATGTTACGACTAAACTATTTACACTAGATATCTATCGTCTACATCAGTATTGCCGCAATATGACGTATGTAATGTTTACACATTTTATACAATGTATGAACAAAAGATAATGTGGTACAGGTGTGATTCTTTGGACTTATTTCTGTATGACCCCCTGATTCATATAGTCAGAATAACTGCAAGCTAAAAGATCAACCACAGCTTGAACCAATTTAAACTAAAAAAAAAAGTTTAGACATATCAGGAATGAAAAAAGAGAAAGGGACAAAAGTTACACTTACATTGAGCTTATCCGTCATGCATTTGAGTCTTTGGATGAACTCTGTCGTCGATCTCGCTCGTTCTGACAGCTGCTGAAGATTTTGTGACAGCTCCGTCTGCAACAACGGTATAACGATCAGTAAACAGCCCTATTTTAGCTTGCAATGCAAGTTAAATTAAGTAAAAATAAATTACATATATATTTTCATTAAAAGACGAACACTAAACCCAGTTTTAACCCCTAAAAGTTTTTTTGACCTAGACATATTATGCTTTACTTATAGAATCTTAGGTATTTTTCAACCCTTAATTCATTTTGATGACGAGAGTTCGGGTCCAGAGCCACGCAACATGATTGGATAACTGAAACCATCGCTGGTGGCCACGTTTTGACGCAAATGGGCAGAAAACTGCACGTCACAGTAACTAGATTACAGGCCCCATCACATGGTAATGCAATAGTACGCCGCGTGTCAGTTAATGACGTCATCGTCATCAGAGATGCAATCTCTACTGGAAAACTAGCTTAATTTATTACGTCAAGGTATTGACGGAATGCTGGAATCTTAAACGGTGAAGTAAATTCCCATATTTCGGTTATTTTTTGCAGTTTTCGTTTAAGTTGTGTTTATGAGACGCGAATAAGCACGCGTCTCTTGCAATAAAATATGACTCAAGTTGTAGAATCATAAAACAGATTTTTAATAGGTACGAGTTTGAAAATTAAATGCTTTCGGTATATAATAAAAGGACTATTTGAATTTAGTGCTAATAATTAACTTTATAAAATCTTTCAATATAAAAGTACAGTAGTAACTTCAACTTGCCATTTTCAGCACTGCTTATTAACACAGAATAAACTTTGAGTCGCTCTTTATTCTTTGATATTAACGAATATGTACGATCCAGGACTAAGGGTGCTGAAGTAGACATCAATATTAATATTTTTATACCACCGATGCAGCTTATTTTTCCCTTTAAAGGCAGTTCAATGAAATCCTCATAGAGTGTACTGCTATTTAAGTGACATTTTTCTTGAACAATACGAAAGTTGATAGAACAATAAAATAAGATTTATGCTTTAGTTAAAAAAATGCATTTCAGAAACTGGTCATGGCCGAGTTTACTTCAGCACACTGTAATGGTGTCTTAATAGTCCCTTTCTATTAAAACGAACACAACTTTAAATTGAGAATGACATCTCTACTTCACAGTGGAGAAGGCTTACACTGTCGAGCTCAAAAACAGTTTATCGGTGGCATATAAAAGCATCTAAGATACGTAGTGATTTTTTTACTGCACATCAATGAAAATCCTGCACAAAACGTGGAAGGACGTGAAACATTCATTAATTGCTTAAATAAAATCTATTTATTCGAACCTTTTGAGGAAACCGTGCATAAATTGGATATAAAACCATTAGTTCAGTAGAAGATTCACTCAACGACGTGGAGTACACCCCAGTGTCCCTGGTAATTTTAATCGGACTCAAACAGACTATTCAATATCCCCAAATCGAATATGCTCGTCCCGCAATTTGAATCGAATAAAATGCGTTTTTGACGGACGCGAGGGGGATGGAACGGGATTAAAACGCAATCCATTAGTGTTCAATTACTTAACAGTCCACATGTTCCGCTTGAGAGAGGGTAGCTGTGTTTGTTTTGGCTTTTGCACTTCACGCAAAGATGGTTCTGATTTACACCCGAAATATAGACTGCGTTACCAAGTCCACTGTATCGTTTGGGTGTTAAATGCTAAGCTTACGAGACTAAACCGTGACGATAAGTATATTGAAGATGGCAAATACGCTTACAAAATAGCTGCAGACTTTTGAGGATTCGGAAGTGAATATTCCTTCAGTTAAAATCTGTTGTTTTACAACTAAACTGAAAGATGCGTAAGTTACAGTACAACAAAGATTGATATCAAAGTGCACTATCATAGATAAAACATACTCCCTGATATCATGCTAATGGATTAACTAATACAATTTTAGGGTTTTGTAGAGAGCGTGCCGTTGTTCACTTTTGATTTCTTGTGGTTTAACCAGCTTTGAAACAATTTAAACAGGATACAGTAACAACATTAAATTGTAATATCGCTTGTTCACTGGTCGGTGTATAAAAAAATGGGCAAATCGGGAAATCTTGCCTAAAACAAGAACAAAAATTGTCAAACACCATCAATATGAAACCCATAAATTCAGGATCTAGACAATAGGATGAGTATAGTTGATCTCGTCTGCTAAAACGTTTTAAAGTAAATTTCATGGTATATTGTATAAGCTGACTAGGTCTACGGAAGATTTATTTGTAATTTTGTGCCTGGCACTTGGTGGGACACTTAAACACTACACAATCTTGCATCATTGCAATTTCATAGATTCTAACAAAACATCAACAAATGTAAAATTCTGACATGAACAAATGCTACCACGAAACACAGAATCGTTGAATATAATAACCAAGGTAAAGCGTTATGTTGTTACCGCAAGACTTTTCCAGACTAAAAGTGACAAGTGAACCCCCAACTTAATTGTGGGGTGAAAAACCAAGATGGCCACCAGTGGAGACTCTCAAACCAAGATAGCAAAACGATTCCCCTCAAAGAAAAATCCACCTCTCTGCATGTTGAGTGCAGATTGCAGTGTTCCCCCACCATTGGACCATTGTTTGATCGTCAGTAAGTGCTCGTTATGCCATTAGCCGGGTCACGTGACTCCTTAGTCTCACAAGGCATTGGGGCTTGATGCATTCATGTAGTTAGGCTGATGGAGACATTACTGGCCGTAGCCTCGAAGACGCCCAAATGGAGAGAGTAGATTATGGCAGCCCATTATAGACGTTTGTAGATATAAGCGTTGATCTAGGATGTTATAGTTCCAGCGGAAAGGTTATAGTTTAAATAATGGTGTTCAAAGAAGGGTTTGCAAAAAAAACAATATAATTAAATAAACGAGTATTTAAACTGGAAAATCCCCAACCTTAATTTTTTCAGCTGATTAAGTATGATCGTGCAATAATAAAATACTAGATGTAGTCCATTGGTCGTAAACTCGACCAGAAATATGTAATGTACAGACTTTTAAAACATGCGATTGTACTTTCTTCCATTTGTTTGAATTTTCTGTTTATATCTTTTTGTTTCTTCATTTTTGTGCTTATTTTTGAGCCTACTTTAACTTGCACATTTACAGGAAAATATATTTCGAACAATATCCGTAGATTTTCCCTGCGATGTACACGAGCTGAGAAAAAAGGTTTTAAGGAAACATGCTTGCCCTCATATATATAGATACTACAGCGTGTCTATACTCTACACTTAATACTTGTACTTCTGTACTGTATCTTACATCGTGCAACAATTAATTTGGTAATGATACTATCTGATCATAAACCAGCGATTCTATCCCTTCCAGCCAAACCGAACCCAGTTTGACACGTTTTCACTATTTTTATCTCAAGCGCGATAAACCAAAGAGCCGTCCCAAATAGTCACGTAGCCCCAAATACAGCAATTTACTGCTTGAAGGCAGCCGTGTCGGCGCCGCATCTTCACGAAATCTTCCCAAGACTGAGTTAAAATGTCGAAGATGTCGAAATGTCCGTGATCCCTGGGCGTGAGGGAAAGCGGACATGTCGCAGGGACAATGGTCTTTGTTGTGGTGGCAACAATGCCCCCTCCAGGACAATGAACAGCTGTTCCATAGTTTACTCGGAGAATGAGGATTTGGTTACCTATATGTAATTACATACGGTCATGTTGTCCTGTATGAGCATATTCGAAATGCATAGACCTTGAAATAGACTTGATTTCAACTGTATAATAGTGCTTCTTATAACAACGATAAGATTGATAAATAGTTGATTCTCCTTCACAAATGGCACATGAAGGCGTTAGATTTCATTTCTACGACATCACCACACTAGGGGGCGTATTTGGCAAAGATGGGAGAAGAACCCAAGTTAAATGCATGAGAGGAGAGCTTCGGTACTATAGATCAGTACCGACTACAGATCAGCTGGCTGTTTGGTCAGGACCAAAATTAGGACTTTAATTAAAAGTCCGAAGATCAGGGACAGCTGAGTACAATTTTGAACCATCAAAACGCATTTCGTCCTTTTTACAGGACCGAACTGAAAACCTTATAAGTAGGCGAGAAATACATCCACTGTGGATGTATGCAGAATATGATAGAAATCTTCGTTTGGATGGGATAAACGTCAAAATTGAATATTCACTATGTCACTAATTACTTTCTCCCCCTATACCATAGTATATGGAGAAAGTATTGTTTTCGTCAAAATTTTCGAGTTTGAGTTTTGAGTGGATATATTCGTTTTGGGTCCCCCTGGACCCAAAAAAGTGGTTTTCGAAGTGATGTCTGTGTGTGTGTGTGTGTGTGTGTGCGTGTGTGTGTGTGTGTGTGTGTGTGTGTGTGTGTCTCTGTGTGTCTGGATGTGTACAGAGCTAGAGACTACACCTGTGGTCCGATTTCGATGAAATTTGGTATGTAGGTTCTAATCCATGGTATCTCCAGGCGTTTTTTTCATTTTTTTGAAATTTTGATTTTTAATGGGGATTTTCCCATAAAAACCCATAAAAAACCGGAAAAATCAGATTTTCTCAAAAATGGCCCGAACGATTTTGATAAAAATTTAGTATGTTGTAGCCCTTTAAATTCTGAACATAATGGTACAAATCCCATTTCTGTAAAAATTACGGTTTAAAAGTTATGGTAAATTATGTTATTTTCCCATAAAACCCCATAAAAAACGAAAAATAGGATTTTAGAAAAAAATCCGGTTTTGATTTAACAAAGTACTTATGTTATAGTCCTTACAATTTTGACAGTTTTTAATTTTTTTATAAATTTTTATTTTTAATGGGGATTTTTCCATAAAACCCCATAAAATAACGGAAAAAAAGGATTTTCCCAAAAATGGCCTAAACGATTTTGATAAAAATTTTGTATGTTATAGTCCTTTATATTCTGAACAAAATGGTACAAATCCCATTTCTGTATAAATTACGGTTCAAAAGTAATTGTAAATTATGTTATTTTCCCATAAAAACCCCATAAAATAACGGAAAAATCTGATTTCCCAAAATT